CGCGACGCCAGGTCAGCGGATATCGCCCCCAGGCAGGCCGGCGCGGCGGCGGGGCAGGACACTATGGCAAGGGCTGACTGGGCGGCGGCGTCCAGCTCGCCGATGGCGATCTGGTCGCCAGCTGCGGCGGCGCGCAGGAAAGCCTCCGTGGCCGCGCCCGTCTCGTGCACCATGGCTGTGGGGGCATGAGACAAAGTGTTTGCATGTGTGTGAGTGTGTGAAGGGGAGGTGCATGTTCATGTGTGTGTTTGCATCTTGATGTGGGCCTGCGTCTGTGGGTGCATGTATGTTGGTGTGGGTGTGGCGGTTGGGTGTGCATGCGTTGTGTGCATGGGCAGCGCAGTGATGCAGTGGCTCATCGTGACACATGGGGGGTCGAAGGTCGCCACATGGGCGGTGGTAGCGACAGGGGGATGGCCGTGAGCGGGCAGCCAACAGAGCGGCTGGAGGCGGGCAGCCCAGAGCGCAGTGACGCCGCCGCCGAGGGGCGTTTGCGTGCGCTGCGTGACGTCGCGCTCACATGCGAAGGCGCCGTCCGGCCGCTCCAGCAGCGCTTTTGGTGTGTCATACTCCACCGCCACGCCCTGGGGCAGGACAGGGCGCATATGGGTTGGGCGGGATAAGGTGCTGAGGAGCGACTGGGGTATGGGGTGCGGCACCATGGGTGGGGCGTAGCATGCGGCTCCCAGGCCGTCTATAGGGGATGGGGTTCTGGTGGTCACTGCCAGGCAGGCCCGGGCGGCCTCGCTCGCCCCCAAATCAAGCCACATCCCCTCGCGTGTCCCGCTCGTGCTTGTCTTGGTGTTTGTTGATGCGTCCATTCATCAATGCGCTTGGCAGTGGCACATGCACTCCTGAAAGCCCTGCCGACCTTCAAATCACCCCCGCCCGCGCTTGTGCATCCATATCTGGAAAAGCTGCCGCCCATCAATTCACCCTGTCCCCCCCTCTGACCTGGTCCAGCACCAGCACCCTGTCGCTGGCGATGATGGTGTGCAGGCGGTGCGCCACCGCGATGATGGTCCGGTCAGAGAACTCGCTGGGAGGGGTGGGGGGGGGGAGGGGAGGGGGTAGCGGGGATGTGGGGGGTAAGGGGGTTGAGGGGTTTGGGTTGCAATGGGAGGAGAGAGAGGCGGGGAAGAGCGCAGCGTGCTGGTACAGGGGCGGCGAAGCAGGTGGGGTTTGAGGCAGCGGGGGAGGGGTGCGCACAAGGAGCAAGGGGCCCAGCTCAAGGGCGGCGGGGCGGCGTGCACGAGCTGTTAGCCAAGAGTTTGGGTCTCTTGCTCCTGGCTTATCGCCACGTCACACCCTCTCCGTCTCACCCCAGCGGCCCCCAAACGCAAGCATCCGCCTGGACCCGAGGATCCCCCCCTTGGGCACGGTCATTGGCTCACCTCGGCACTCCTTGCCATGGGCCACAGCAAACACCCACACCCATCCCTCAACCCCTGCTGTCCAGCTGACCCCCCCTTTAACCGCCCCCCCCAACACACACAACGGCCCTGCCGCCTCACGTGGCCATGGTGGTCTGGATGAGGGCGTCCGTCTCAACGTCAACGTTGGCGGTGGCCTCGTCCAGCACCAACACCTGGCGGGTGCACAGTTTGTAGGTGGATGGAAGGGGGGGGCTGACGTTGGGGTAGTCGTGAGAAGAGCTGTGAAAGGTTTGTGGTCATCTTTCGGCCGAATCGCACGCGCGGTGTGATGGATTGGTAGCAGTGAGACGAGGCGCGGCAGCCGTGAGGCAGCGTCCCCTTTTCAGTCGCGAACCAGGCTTTGTGGTGCGCGGGCGCGTGCAAAGCGCTCAGCCGCATGCGCACGATTGCGGCAGCGGCCGCCGAGCGCCCCCACCTTTGCCGGGCTGAGCACCGCGCGCGCGAGCGCCAGCAGCTGCTTCTGGCCCGCGCTGAGGGGTGCCCCGCCCTCCGCCAGCGCGTGGTCCAGGCCACCCCCCAGGGACTCCACCAGGGGGGCCAGGTGGGCGCGCCTTGGGAGGCGAGGACCGGTTGTTGTGAAGGAAGGGTGAGGGACAAAGTGGGGGAGCGCGAATGAGAGGGGGGGATGTTGCTGCTTGGGGGGTTGTGGACTGTGCGGCCCGTTCAATCGTGCCTGCTCATGCATGCGTCCTGCAATGCCCGCCCGCACTGCCACTGGGTGGGCCGCAGGTCACTCCTCCAGGTCACTCCTGCCAGCTAGGCCACCTCAGACCCCCCCCCCCCCACACACACACACAAACACACGAACACGCACGCATGCGTGCACAGACACACACGCACGTATGCACACACACCTCCCTGCGCACACACACAACCCTCAAAACCCAATATCCCTGACCTCAGTGCGCTCCAGAGCTCGGCGTCAGAGTGCTCCCCAAAGGGCGACAGATTGACGCGCACACTGGCCGCAAACAGGACTGGCACCTGCACACGCGGGACGTCAGTCAAGAGGGGCCGGACGCGCAGTCGGGGCAAACGACGGCGATGGGTGCGGACCGAGCGACACCAGGCAGGCAACCGCCTTGAGCAAATCTCCCAATGATATCCTGCCCTTGTCAATGCTTTTGCCAGACTCGCCCCCTCTGACCAGCCAGCGTGCGCATCAACTCCGGCTGTGCAGCCGCAGGTGCGCGCGAAGCGCAAGGGGTGCAAACGTCCCGCGCGCGAGCACAGCCAGCGCAGGGTGCAGCAGCGCGTTGCAGCGCGTGCGTGCACACGCGAGCCCCCTCCTTGCCTGTGGGATGAGCGCCATGGCCGAGCGCAGCTGCTTTAGGCCCACTCTCGTCGTGTCAATGGCGTCCAGCAGGATGGACCCGCCCTGGCGGGGTTTTTTGGAGGGGGGGGGGTGCGCGGTGGGGGGGGAGGTACCGTGACGGGGGTAGGTGATGAGAAGCGGGGGAGGGGACCGTGCCTTGTTTTGGGGCAGAGACTCAGGGTGTGCAGGGTTGGAGGGGTGGTGAGGTCGGGGCCAGGGAAAGGCGTTTGCAGTGGTGGGGCCTGGTCGCAGGATTTGTTGGAGGCACTCAGGCAGGAGGGCTGCGGGGCTCAGGGGCGAGGAGCCAGGCCCAGCCCAGGACATCAAACTGCAAGCTGCTGGCACGAGCCCCCGCGCTGCTCCATGCCCCGCATCCCCCACACACATGACAGCAGGACGTGGACAGTTTCACGCAGGCGTGGCTCAGGATACAAAAGTTTGAGAGATATACGGACACCATTCGCAACCCCGCTCCACCCCCGCCCACCTCGACCTCTGTCAGCCTGAACAGGGCCCCAATGACGCTCGACTTGCCGGCCCCGGTGCGCCCCACGACGCCGACCTAGCGGTGTGGGCATGAGGGGACGACGCGAGGCAGGCGTCGGCATAGGCGTGCGTGCGTGCATGTGCGTGTGCGTGTGTGTGTGTGTTTGTGTGTGTGTTTGTACATTGACGGCGAGTGAGTGACGACTGCGCCGCCAGGAGAGGGTGGCAGTACACTGTGCTCGAAAGGACCCTGCCTTGCAAATGACTTGCAGACTGTGAGGCGGGTGCGGGCACCTAGGCGAGTGCTCACACAGCGGCTTCCCTGCATCGGCTGTCATGAGCCAGGCTCAAGCAACGCGGCGTGCAGGTGCAGATGCGCGGCGGGCGCTGCAATGCGTGCGCTGCGAGGCGGTACCCGCCTTGTTGCGTGGTGGTATGAGGAAGGAGAGGCCCTTGAGCACCAGGGGCAGCCCGGGGCGGTACCTGTGTGTGTGCATGTGTGTGTGTGTGTGCATGTGTGTTTGTGCGTGCGCAAGTGTCCAAGTGTGCGTGCGTGCGTGCTTGTGTGTTTTTTTGAGTGTGTGCATGCTTGTGTGTGTGTGAGTGTGTGTGCGCGCGTGTGTGTAAGTGTTTGTGCGCGTGCGCGCACACACTTGTATATATGCGCATGTGAGGTGTAAAGCCGACCCGCTTGAACAGGACGTCACATCCTCATCCCACTGTACCACGACTCACATTACCACGCCGCAGCGCACCAGACTCTTGACGCTGGGAGGCCACCACCCATCACATGTCGCCCGCGGCTGTTGCCTCTCCCACGTCACCCGTCACCCGTCACCCCGCCCACCTCATCTTGACGTTTGCAAACTCAACCTGCCCCTCCTTTGGCCAGCCCTCTGGCGCAGAGCCGGGAATGACGGCCGCCGCCTCGCTCTCCAGGCTGCACCCAGGGTGTGGGCAGGGAAGGTGTTTTGGGGGGAGGAGGTGTGAGGGGGAGGCAGCGCAATTTGGATGGGCAAGTGATTGGGTTTGGAACAGCCTGCGGTGCCCAGGCGCCAGGCGCTTGGGTCATGGCTCAGAACAATTGCTTGTTGAGTAGCAGAGAAGAGCAACGCAGACAAGGGCATGCAACCACGGCAGTCCACACTTCAATCGTTGCTGACTGGCACAACCAGCGCTTTGTCACATCACACGGCAGCAGCTGCCGCCGCAGCGCCCTCCCCTAAGCCCGGGCGGCTCCAGGAGCAGGCGCCCGCGGCAAGGCGTGACGTCACGTGCCGTCATCAGCCCTCACGTGCTGTACTCGTGCAGGCGCTCCACCGCGTTGAAGCTCTGCTCCGCCACGGCCCCAATGCGCAGTGTCATCGACGTGACCATCGTGAATCTGGGGGGGGGG